TAAATTTGTTTACTCTAAATTATGACTCTAATAGATACGGTCGCGTGTCTCCCGACCGTTTCTTCGTTGGTGCACCGCACAAAGAATTAACATTATCTCCGAACGGAGGCAGCCGGTCTCGTCAGCTATTTTTTTCGCGTGATAATCGGCAATTACAACTAACTCTGTATCGATCAGTGGCGATCGATGGCACAGATTATCTGTCAATGATTTCGAACTTGATCGTTTCGATGCCTACAAGAAATTAGAAATCATCTCCATTTGAGAAACAGCTCGAAGGGAAGCATGATAATAAGCATGACGGATTCGCGATGGTACATATAAGCTACATATAATTTGCATAAATAATATCCACCGATCTATTGGTCGATAATCACTTCCCGTTTATTATTCTGAGATACGTACGCTACTTAATTATAATTATTATTGACAACTAATTTCTCGTAATTGTTAGGACCGCCATGATAATGTCCCGTTGCGTTATTTTACTGCGATGAATAAATATAATTCGATAGACAGAAGAGCGACGCGCTTGAAATGAATTAAAGAAAATCGGGGGAACGATATTTCCAACTGCTCATATTCTCGTTATGCTGTTTCTTAGTAATGAAACAAATAGGTAAATATGATCGAACGTGATTTATGACTCTATTGATAAAATAATGATAAAGTAATAAAATCGCGCGCTTGCCCTAGCGGAAGTTCCTATCGCGAGAAATAAAACGATACCAGCTTCCGTTAATTCATGAGTAGGGGAGTATTTTATATCATAATCAGCTGTGTGGGGTGTATTAATCGTTATTATTACATAGATATTGCGCGCACGAAGATGTACATTATTTTTTTTGTCGATATCTAACCTATATATATAGCTTGTATTCAGAACGTGGTTATGATGATGTAGAATGCATTTAGCATATAGTGTTCATATTACATATATTAGTAGTATATTTTAGAATAACATATATATATATATATATATAATTAATGTATAACATATAAAATAAAATTGAATAAATAAAAGCGCGTACTTATCGATAAAAGTATATTACGTTCTGAATATGGGCCACAATGTCCTGCTGGCAATTTGATTTGCTTAATTAATCACAAAATTAATCGCAAACTGACTAATATCATAAGTTTGAATAATAATATAAAACTCAATGCAGAGACAAATGTATAAGAGACATAAATACATTAAAAATTAGATTAAAATTTTTTATTTTTGATGAAAAAGAATTTTTGTTTCCGTGATTTTCTTTTGTAAATAAATTATGCAATTTCTCGCATTAATAGAACTTACAGTCAACGGAACTTACAGTCAATTAAAGAACAGGAAGAAATCGGATAATCAATACCTTGTAGCTTATACATTGTTTCAACTATGTTGAAAGAACAATATGGTATTGCTTATATTATTGACCATTGGCTCGATGATTACTGCGATGAAGATTTACGTATTTATTCAGATAACTATTTCTTTCACAGTTTTCCACAGAAGGCGATATAAAGCGATAAAAGAGAAACTGAGAAGAGGCTTCGCATTTCTTTTACAATTCCGTCGGAGTGATGGATGAGTTCTTCGGAGAACTGTCGTCGATAAATCACCGATAACCGTGTTTTTTTAACAGTTTGTCTTTGTTTTTGCCATTGCGCCGACAATGCCTCCCGTAAAATTGCATTTGTGGCGGCGTCATGTCCGTTGTCTCGTAAAATGTACACGCCTATGAACGTCATTACCACGTAATTAACACTCTCCCCTTCTCCTGTTCCATTCCTCAGCAGCGTAATGAGTGTTCGAGCGTGGAAATTTGCATGTGAATCTCACTACCGCTGCCGACATACCGCAAAACCGCATCCGCGAAATCATTCTCCGTTTCGAGCTATGCGGACAGAAGAGAAGACCGGTCTATTATTCGTGCATGTGCGGACGCAATCGCGTGAATGCACCTGGTAGTAAAATTGGGTCGCGTGTCACGTCTGTCATCGCCGTTCCGTAAACGTAAGAGTGAACTTCCGATTATATTTTTAACGTGAACGTGAACATTCGTTTGATGTTTGAACTATGTGAAAAATGATATTGTTGATTGAAATACAGCCTCCGGTAAAACAATTCCGGAGCAGATAGTCATACGAAGAGAGACGGCCATTGTGGATTCTCCAGTAATTGCCGATATGATATGCATGAATAGTTAGTAAACGTCATGGTGATTGATTGGAATTTTTTTGCGATTAGCAGCACTTTAGCGGATATATCAATACGTTTTTTACTCGAATTTTTCTCCTGTTTAAAATTATTTTTCAATTAAATGAAATTAAAAGTTAGCTTCAAATCAATGACAAAATGGAAATTTATATAACTTTGTGAAAAATAATCGTAAAATGATTTTCAAAGACAAAGAAAATTTATTTTTAAAAGTCTAAAGATCCTTCATATCTTATTAAATTTTTGTCTCGGTTAACAAAATTTATTCAAGAAATTTTTGCTCACTATTTCCAAATCGAGATCGAAAAGTTAATAGAAAGTTTCAACTTTCACGCATAGAGTTGAAAAAAAATTCTTTTTAATTGATTTGAAACAATCTGAAAGTTTAAAGTCTCCTTTTTAAAATATTCTTTAAGAAATTAAAATACAATTTTTTGTTGTCGAGTTATCGCGGTTTGAAATGGCCAGTATATTTCACCTTTTCATCACTAGAAATAGTGTCTTAGAAATTAACATTTCTGTAAATCACAGACACTAGAAGAAATAATAACAGTTTGAATATATATCAAGGTGTAAGTGGTTACAGATTTTTATAAGCGGCTGGACACATTAAGAGAATTCACGATTTATGTTTCAGAGATGGAAGTGGATAATACTATCTTACGTGCTCCAATTAATTCTAAAAATAAAATTATATGAACAAATTTCTAATCTGATCGCATAACTTTCATAGATAGAGTTCTCTCGCAAATTCAAATTACACTCACAATACAACTCATTTTACTCGCGTACTTACATGCGGAACGGTCCACGTGCGTTTCGCGTGGCATCTGCAGCAGACACGTTCCTGTTGAGACAAACGTGGCACGTCGTAGCTTCTCACGTGCGCACGGCGAGAACTAATTGATCGTATCTCCGCGCGTGTTTAATAGCCAAGCGCTTTTACTGCATCGGAGTAAAGTCGGTGCGGCCGACATGGGCAAGATCATGGACGGCAAATGAATCGCGTCCCGATTTCACTGTGGATCAATTTACCTAACAAGAGCGAGGACGCGATAAAGTTGAACCGTCGCGAGGCCGCGCGAACCCGTAATTAACGTCTCTGGTGAAACGTCTTATAATCGCTTAATAAGCGTCCGTGTGCAAATAGCGTGCGTTAATTGAGTACATCCAGGGCGTTGTGTGGTCGGCAATTAGCGCGAAAACTATGATGCCTCTCAGTACGATAGTTCGCAATACTACGTGGGAAAATTCTTCGTAACCGGTTTAATGATCGGCATTAAATGTCTACAAGTGTAAACGATAAACTTTTTCCGCGCGTTTCGCGGAGAATAGTCCAATCCACTCGTGTTAATAATGCGCCAGTAGTAATCAGCGTTAATTACATTGTCACCGATCTTGGAGAAAAGGAAAAGAAAAGAAAGAAAGTGAGAGAAGGAGAAAATGAGAGAAGGGGGGAAGAGAGGAGAGAGCAGCATATAGAAAAAAGGCAAATCGAGTGGCATTGATTTACGCTTGATTACATTTCTCACGAGATCTCTGGCGCGCAGAGATTCTGCATAAGTGAATGCACTTTGACGAGACGCCGCTCACGCTCGCTTACTTTCGATTATTTCTGCGCCGTCATGAATGAGACGTCCGGTATTCGCGCCGGCTACTCGCGGTAGTAACGCTATTTAAAATGCCGACGTGAGATACATATTATTCGACGTGTTACTCATGAAGGTAGAAAGTGCTCGATCGTCCGCGATGCGTATATATGCTGAAGAAGAGGCGAATATGCGTGCATTTCGCCGTTCACCTTCGCTAGTCTCTGACAGAAGGTGACGAGGGTTAAAAGGTGGAATTAGAGGGAGCCTCTCAACGGAAGGTCAAGCTCGTGGGCTAGCACAATCTAATGTTCGTTTCTGTGCATGCGTGCACGTGCGGTATACGCACGTGCGTGATGAACGTCCTCGCCATCGGGCCACCGATGAGCACGTTTCCATCGCGATTAATCGATAAACGCACTTCGTTTCGGTAGCGAACGCGCGCTTCGATCGATCTTTGTATCTCATAAAGCGGATATTAATCGTAGAGACGTATTTAATGGTTTGATGAAGCATACCGGCATTATTCATCATAGAAAGATGTATTTTTATTTCTATACAATTCAGCATGACGTGCATGTTTGTTTAACAGAAGAAATTGAATGTCGAATGCTACTACTCGAATGCTAATACGCTAAAGTTATATAATTAATTATTTAACATTTTATAATATTTAATATTCAGTTATGAATATTAATATATGTATCCCTCAAGTGTCAAGCATTATGATATTATATATAACACTTATAAAAGCTAATTAATATAATTAATTATTTAACATTTCAGTATGTAATGTTTATTTGTTAATATTAAGATCTTAATGCGTAATATTAGTAATATTAATAATGGAAGTGAAAATCAAGATTCATTGCTAAGATATTTGTTTGAGAAAAGAAATAAAAAATTTCTTTCAATTTATAATAAAAAGATTCAATTACAAAATGAATTCAATCATAGGTCTGTCAGTTGGTTTCCAATTCTTCATAGAGTAGTTATTTGATCTTATTTGGAGATGAACCAATTTCGATGAATCACATCGAGATTCGTTTAACTGTCAATTTTGTATGGCCGACCCTACACTATTGGATCCAATTATCGATTTCTGCTGGTATTCGATTCAACTGTCAATTGAAATGCAAATGATTAAGGGACATCCTTGTTATTGCGGATTGTGGTAGTAACAAGAGCCTTCGTTCTGGTTTCAGGAACCAAAAAGCGAGTTGACGAAGTAGCATCACCAAGGACTATCCACGACTTGCCAGAACACGTTCTCACATGTGGCCTGTCACTTCCCGGTAAGCATTTAAAAAATACAATTTTTTCTGAGAAAAAGTTAATGATGATAATTTTTATCATAATTATCTGTGACAAAAGATATTAGATTTGTATTATACATCGAAACTCGAAATTTAAAAAGCGGAAAAATTTGAAATGATAATTTTCAACATTTTTACGATTGTATATTTCTTAAATTATTGCTAAATGTCTATCTGGAATCTATATATTCCAGATTATTTAAAGAGAAATAAGATTGTTGATCTCCAAATTTAAACATTTTTATCGCGATAGTCGACTGCGCTTTTGTTGTAAGCCTTTGTTTCGTGTTGAGGTGCTCCACATAGAGGCAACAGCAGAAACACATGAACTTACGCCACACACGCGACTCTATGTTGCGGAAGATAACAACACGCGGTGACCGCGGAGGAGTATGCGGAAGCTAGGACACACCCATCCACCACGTAGGGTCCCTAAGCTTGGTTCACACGCCCCCGCATCTTCTACTCGTTCTGTGCATCTATTTACGTACTTCGTTGAGTACCGGCAGATACTTCCACAGCAGGCCGTTTCTCTCCCTTCTACCATGATTCTGCCTTGTCGAGTGCGCCATTCTCTCGGCCGTTCTCCTTGCTCTTCGTCCCGCATTGTCCTTTTCTCTCCCTTTCCGTGAGGCTCAGCTGGTCGGATCTGCAGATATCTAACTGTATTCCCGTAGTTGGCGCAGTTGTTGCTCTCTGTCGTCGATTAGCGCACGGCGGGAAGAGGTAGTCGCTAGACGATAGCTGAAAGGAGCCTGACCAAAGATTAACCCGCTAGTGTTCGCATCACGAAACACGCTTTGCCTTAAATTACCATAGAGAGTAATGATTGTTTAAAGTATTTAAATGAGCGTATGCATATATTCCATGTTCATTGCTACCAATGTAGATTAACTTTAATCTTGATTTATCTTATTTTTTTCTTCTAGTTCTGAAAATTAAAAAAAGAATTTGATAAAAAGTTAGATATTAGATAAAAAGTAAATTAATCTAAGATTAAATTTAATCTACATTGATAGAAATAGACCTGGATAAACTCATGTTGGACAAAAATAATATTATACCAAATATTTTTTTGCAGTATATGAGAACTCATAGAATTTATTTATAAAATTTATTTAAGGACACATATTAAGGACACAAAAGAAAGTCTTGAATGCAAGAGTCAGTTGCGAGATATAATTATTACTGTCGAACGAATATTATCTGAGCATTCGATTTTCCTAGTACAGTAAATGCGATCATTGTGATGATTATCGCGTTATCTCGTGATATTAATCTACTAGGATCGATTAAAAACAATATGTAATATTTTTATGATATGAAACGGAGAAATCACTTCATTGAACTTTGCTTTAGATCAAGTAAAATCTCCATTTTTTTCGACATGACTAATATCGACATCGTTCACGTAACGAGTCCCTCCTTCAAAGCGGCGTCCTGCAACGGTAATCGGGTGAAAGGGAAAAGCACACTCGGCCGCTTTAATTGCAACCGAGTGTGGGATATACGCGACTCTTTTGTGTCTCGATTAAGGAGGAACCCCTCGCAACAATATTAACGTTAACTATCCACTTACTTGAACATGAGCTACACGCTCAGTTCGCACGCCTTCGTGTTTCTCGTGCGTCCATCCATTTATATCCTCTTCTCGTAAAAGGGCCAACGTTCCCTTCCGCCTCTCTCCGTCTCAATGAATGCACTTCTCTGTTTCTCTATGTCTCACACACGTATACTGTTTCGTATATCGCCATACACTCCTCTTCCCGCTACCTTTTCTTACCTTCTGGTATCACCTCAGTGTTCATGCTCCCTTCGCGTGCCTCGTATTCTCCCTCTGCTCCTTTCTTCCGCCCGTCTTCGTGGCTCGCTCAGCTGGCCGGATCCACGTATGTCTAACTGTATCCCGTAGTTGGCAAAGCTGCCGCTTTGTCGCCGATTAGCTGACTGGTACGCGGGCAGGCAGAGATGGGCGACGATCTAATGGGCTCCGGCGTGCTTCGAACTAGAGAAATAAACGGTAAGAAACACGTCGTGCCATTAGTTGTTAATTTTAATTACAGTAAAACACACGCGGCGCTTCTTACGGGACTCGGTACGATCGCGCGAGATCCTTAGAGGTGAATTGCCCTTTCGCAGCTAGATAAAAGCGAACTTACACAGTTTACATTAAATGATCGTCTCCGGTGACTCATGAAAAGCGAATGTAATGAACAATTAAGTTTTTTTTTAAGGGAATAATTAGAGAAATGGACTATATTAGTATGTAATATAATTCGCAAATGTAATCTTTTAAAAATCGAGTTAAATATATATTTATAAATCATTCAATGTGTTTTTTACACTTTTGGTTGATAATCTTATCTGTTATTATATAACCTTTATAGGATGGTAAAGCCGTTATATTATATCAAAATAATACCACACAGTGGCATTATGTTGAAATGTTATATTTTGAGCAAAGAATACATGAGATAATGAATTATCTTAATTAATAAATCTTAATTTAATAAAGAGAAAAACTATAAGATTTAAAAAATAGACTTCCGTCTCTTTTAGGTAAATAATAATAGAGCAAAGAGAATTTCGTTTTTTTTTCTTTTTTTTTTTAATTGTATACGTTACCTATTTTTTGTTCGCTGTGGATGATTTGTTAAACTAAAAAATCGTGCAGATTCAAGCAGATCCTCGAAAGTATTTTCTGACCGTTCTTCGGCTCGATCCACGTATCTTCGTACTTCACATTCCCGCACCTATTTATACTGCCTTTCTTTTCCAAAGGTAGTTCCTCGCGTGTCTCGTTAGGCTCCTCTCGTTTCTCTTTCTCCATCCATCGATTCCGCCTTCAGTGCTCGACGCTTGCGGTGTTCTTCTCGTCTGGTCGTGCTCACTTCCTTCATTCCGCCACCTTGATTGCAACAAGCGCACGTTGTTTCGGTTTCGTGGGATCCCGTTGGAGCTACCCGCGGGGCTCAGTTTCCGACTCGTCTCGAGCAATCTCCGCGAGATTTTCCGACCGTCTCACGTCGCTCCGATCTTCTACACTTTAATGTTTACATGTTCACGTTGCATGTACCATTCCTCCTGTGATACCAATGCAGTACGTGATGAGAACGTAAGAATTTACGAGAAAGTCTACTGTTGACAATCTGCCAGGCGGAAGCGCACTCTGTCCGTTCAAGAAATCTAAACGCTATCTTTTAGATAATCACCTATTGTGCAAAATCACACAGGATGCAAAGACTTTATATGAGCGCATAACGTGCTTATTCTACTCACTCTTGAAATAACAGTGCATGCATAGGTATGATGATCGTCAATTGCTCGGCTAAATAAGAAGAACACTAACAAAATTATCTTTCAGCTTGTTAGAAGTACAGTTGCATTTTTGGCATATTTATAATGTAAACGTTGTTATTTTTACCTTAATAATAGCTGCGCTTCTTCGCTTTGGTAAGAAATACTACTAACAATATTTTTTACCGTCACAGATGTCTGATTTATAAAAATAAAAGGATTTGTAATATTTTATGGATAATGAGTAGAGTATTATTTAATCATTATTGCTTTTATGTTGTAAGAAATATTTGATTTATTTTGACACGAGCACGGGATCGTATAAACTATGTAAAAATATATATTGAAAGTTAAACACAAATAGCTAATTCGCTTCCCTAGCCATCGTTTAATGTTACAAGTCTCATGGTGTACGAAGTGGGTCTCTCAGTACGTCATCTGAACAGGCTTCCTCGTCATTGATTCTTCGCGTTCTTCAAGCAACGGCAGCTCAAGACTCCCTTGTTATATCCTCTCCTTTCTCCCTAGTCATTTCCTTTCCTCTTCCCACGGATTCCCTGCTGGAGAGATCATCGGGTGCCTAACTGTAATCCCGTAGTTGGCGAAGCTGCCGCTTTGTCGCCGATTAGCTGGTCGGAGCTTGTGCCTGGCCGAGCCGCGGTCGCTTTAAAAGAGGTGGGACGGAGCAGGAAGAGGAAGCGCAGGAGATAGCAGCGTCGTGCCGCGTTTACGCCCGCCGGGCAAAGAGGTGCAAGTACGACAAACGACCGCGGCCGAAGTTCAAGCGGGTGCTTCGAGAGAGTCGGATTGGAGGGCATTAACGAGCTCGCTGGTACGGTGACGGTCTTTGCGATCGTCACGTATTTTCTTACCATCGCTTTTTCTGCAGCTCTTATAGACGGGAAATTTGCGGAAGCAGACTCGTGCACGATCGAAATTTTGCTATCTAGTTCTTGCTTGATTAAATCTAATCCACATATGAGAAGGTTTGGTCAATTAGCAAACTCATTCCACGTCCATTGACTTAATTCGTCAACTCGATTAGGCATATCCGCATAAATTATCGGGAAAACGTTGCCACGTCAAGAGAAATCGTTTCGATTCGATTTGTGCCAGGAATCGTAGATTTATAAGGTAGCTCTCCGCGTGGCGCGTACACGGTCGCAGCAGGTGAGCAGAGTATGTAATAGAATCCTCGAGAGCAGCGAGAAATTATACAGGGTGTTTCATAAAGTTTGCATGGAATTTTATCGATTTTTCGATATACTTAAAGTGAGAGATTTTCTTATATCAAAATTCAAGATTTAAGTTCAAGACGAGAGATTTAATGTTCAAAGAGAGAATGAGAGAGATTAGAGCAAATGTAATTTTAGGAACGCAGCCAGTTAATTAGTGTAGTTAATTACAGATTTTGATAACATCCTGCAAAGTTTAATTACATAAATATTTAATATTAAAAAAGAATAAAAGCATCCTATCAAATGTTTCTTAAATATTAACTTTTGTACAAAGTTTATGAAGCACTCTGTACTTTGTACTCTGAGAAGCGTGATATATCAGTGATAGCAGCTGGATATCCTCGTTAAATTAGACGAAGAACGAACGACGACTAGATCGAGCAGCGGTGTAAATTGTGACACCCTGTACGTATTTACACGTGGTGTGATTTATGATTTTATGCA